GGTGCCCCCAAAGGTCGTGCCACTTCTGAACCTTGAAGTCGCCTGTGGGAGCGATGATCTCCTGAGGCGCTGCTGGGGCCTTCTTGATGCTCTTATGCAAGATGTTGACCGATTTATCATCGAAAACCCAGACTCTGAAATCATCCAAGGAGGCGTGCAGAGCTCTGCCGCGGGCTCTGCTGGCTCCCTTTTCGGCCACCGCCACCATGTCTGACAGGGTCTCGAGCGAGTGGCCGTCTGGGGAACTCACGTGTTCCAGCCAGCTGCTCCACCCTGTGCAAGGCGAGATGCGCCTTCTCAGGGTAGTTCGTGACCAGCTTCTGGCATGCCTGGAGGAGAGTGATGCACTGTCGTGAGCCGTTGCCCCTCCGTCGGTGATGAGCCAGGCGTTCCAGTACTGTGTGGCATCGTGACCACCGCGTACTGCAGCGGTCCAGCAGCGGGAGGGCACGGCTGCGCTCCGACATGTGCACCTCGTGAACTCGAAAACGTGGTCCTCCTGCCCTGCGCGGGCGCCTGGCTGAGGGAACCATATGCTGGTGTTCGTAGACAGCGCCTTCCAGAGCTAGCGCCCATGCCCCGTAGAGGCCGCTGACATGATCGATATGAGCTGCTCCAGCTTTGTAAGCCAGGGAATCGCGAACCACGCCCCAGGCGCATTGAGTGTGGAGAAAGCCAACGTGAGCCCTATGCTTGAGCCACAAACAACAGTGACGGAAGAGCAAAGGGGGAAGAGACGCAGCAGCACTATCAGCCGTGCACGGGGGAGTCGCCGAATTGTCGTGAGACTCTACTTGGTGGACCTCTGGAGGACCATCCGTGACGGCGCCACCGACATCAGTGAGATTGTTGTTAGGAACTCCACAAGACGCCTGAATGTTACTGGGCTGGCCAGGCTGCACCGCAGAATCCTGGATCCCTGGTGCGGGCACGGTGGGACCTGCTGTGGCCTGCTCGGGACTCGGGGTGGCCTCAGAGCCCACAGGGGGGGCTCCAGAAGTGCCTCCGACACCGCTGGCTCCAGGGCTCACGCCGCCAGAGACAGAAGTCCCGTCGCAGGCGCTAAAGTTCCCCTCGTGAGCCCACGGGTCCTCCTCCTCGTCATCCCAGGCGCCAGAAGCAAAATCTAGTTCGGCATCTTGATTTAAAACCTTGTTAAATCGCGTGAAACACTGTCTTGACTCGGGGGGTCGGGGCTCTGGGTATCTTCCCCAGGCTCGCCCAAGACATCCCCAAGCAAAATGCTGGCCTCCTCTATGCTACGAACCCGAGCGGCCTCCTGGGCTTCAAGACGCTGAGCTTTGGCCCTGGAGGACGCATACCCAGGCGAGGGGGGGGGGGGGGGGGGGGCGAGAGAATTGTTGGTGTGCTTGGCGGGCAAACCCAAAGACCGTGCGAGGAGCTGCGTGGCCGCGCCTCTGAAACGCACTAGCAGACCGCAATGTGTTTTCCACGGTGCATCTACGCGAGCCTCGACGGACAAGACATGCGGTGCAAAACTCGAGCTGGCCACTGCATAATCTATCTCCGACACTTTGGCACCTGCTGTGCACGTCGCCTCGACGTTCGAAGCCCTCAAGACATGCCCCTGGACCTTAGCAAGAAAACCGCGCGTCTCAAGACTGGATGCTGACATATTCCAATCAGCAAAAACTACCCAGGATAACTGGACGCTGGCTGGGAGGGCCCCGAGCCTACTGAACCTCTGTAGGTTCCTCCCAGACCACCCTTCACTCGCGAAGCCATAGGAACATACAGCAACAAAAGAGAAACCTCTCATGTCTATCACGGAGGCCTGGGACCCGTCCAGGGCGTCGTGGCCGTCAGCTCTCAGCGCGCGCCGCGACTCTGCAAGGCTCCTCACGCTGCGTTGCCCCTGCGCCAGCAGCCACTCGCCCCCCTCGTTGGCCCTGTGGGCCTGGCCCGAGGAGATGCCGCCTCGCCCTGAGGGCCTGGCGGGGTTGGCCAGCAAGCGCAACTTCGCCTCCCTGGCCTTGCCGTCCCATTCGGCGAAGCCCGAAGCGTCCATGTGCGTCTCGACCAGGCCCATGTAGTGGCGCGGTTGCTCCACCACGAAATCCCAGGCCTGCTTGCCAATGCGCATGATGTTGGCGAAAAAAGAAAGTACTAACTGAATTGTCTGCATCACTGGCAACCTCATGGCTGCCTCCACTCGCCGCCCTCGCCCTCCGCGGTGTACCAGTCGACGGACTCGGTGAGGGAGGGGAGGACGGCTGCTGCTCTCACTTCTGTTCAGACCCTGCGGCCGCCGCGCCCCCTGCGCGGCCACCTTCTGCGCCTGCTTCGCTGCCTGGGGTTCGGCCAGCTTGGCCGCGCTGGTGCGGTCGGCTGCCTTGACATGTCCTTGGGTGGTGCTCCGTGCTGCTCCGTCCTGCTCCGCGTCCTGCTCCGTACGGCTCTGTACTGCTTCGCACCCTGCTCCGAGGGCCTGGAGGACTTATAGGGCTTATAGGGCTGATAGGGCTTATACGGCGTATAAGGCTGATAAGGCTTAAACAGATCGTAGGTCCTATAACGCCTTTACAACTGAAAGCGTGTATAATGCTTGTAAGGCGTGTAAGCATGACGCGGATTATATGGCTTCACGTATAGCGTATAATGTGTGTAGAAGTCTTATCGGGCCTATAAGGGGCTACACAGCTTAAAACGCTTTTAGGGCTTATAAGGCTTTTAGGGCGTTTAAGGCTTACAGGGCTTATAGGGATCTTATGGCCTACAGCGCTTAAGGGACTTACAAGGCTTGCACAGGCAGTAGGGCTTATAGGGCTCGCAGGGCCTTATGGCCCTTATGGTTGATAAAGGCTTATAGGGTTTATAAGGATCAGGCTTGTGGGGATTATGGCGCTTAGAGGGCTTCATGGGCTAATGCGGCTTGTGAAAGGTTTCTACCGCATATGATGTTTCAAAGCGTATAACGGTTGTATGGCTTATAAAGCTTGTAGGGCTGATTGTTCTTAAAAGAGCTTATACATGTCATAGGGCCCACGAGATTATAATGCCCTCATGTGCCTATAATGCATCCTGGCGTTATAAAGCTTATATGGCTAATATGGCGTGCGCGCGTGCATGGCGTATAAAGTTCATGGGTCTTATACGGTTTGCATGGCTTATAAAGATCATAGGGCTTATACGGCTGAAGTGGTTTACAAGGCTCACGGCTTCGAGCGCTTGAGACGCCGAGAAATCTTATAATGCAGATAAAGTGTATACGTCTTTGAAAACGTATAAGGCTCATAGGGCTACCCCCCCGCCGACTCCAGAAAGTGCCCAAAATCGAACAAACATTTATACGGGAGAATAGCCGAACATGCCCGACAACTTTTGGAATTCAGCACACACAAAACTAGCGAATACCTCCGAACACCTGCGAAAACCGAAAACTCCAAAAATCCTTACAACAACTTTAGAAAAACAAACCATTGAATACATCCGAACGCCGAAAACGTCGGAAAACCTGCGCAAACCCCCGCAAACCGAAACTTCCGAAAACCCACAAAAAATCGTTGGAACCCGAACAAATCGGAAACCGTTGAAAACATCCGAAACCAGAAAGCCTTTCAAAAATCGTCCACGTCCGCCTACCCAGCCCTGCCCCATCCTACCTCCTACCTCTCCCTTGCCATGGGGCGCAGTCGCTGGGCCTTGCTGCCCTGCGTGACTGCCAAGATGGGCTGCGCACCCGGGCCCCCCCCCCCGTTTCCTCCCCCGCCTGTTGCCTCTCCCAGCGCGCGTCGTAACGGCGGCGGCGGCGGCCCCCGCCCCCCGCCCTGGCACGCTTTGCACAGCGCGCCCCGCCGGGGCCCTGCCCGAGCAAAACGCAGAGCAACGACTAGCTGCAGCTTGCACGCAGGCCTGGTCGCCGCGCGCGGGCTGCATCCAGCTGCAGATCGAGATCGCGCGCGCATTCGCAATCAGTCCAAACGGGCAGCGCGCAAACGATCCCGCGCAAGGGCTGAGCAACGGCAAGAAACGGAAATGACGAAGGGACAGAGACGGAAACCCCCCAACGACGGACGCGCGCAAACACCGCGAGGAGCAACTGCGACGAGGACAAATATGCGGGCGCGCCGCCCGCTACGCCAGGGATTGAACCAAAATGGCCTCTGTGGAGAAGGCGGCGAGGAGAAGGAGCGGGAGGGGGGCCGAAAGAGCGCGGGCGAGTCCACCGCGGAGTAGGGGGGGGGAGGTTGAGCCACAGCGAGGTTTGAGCCGGGCGCTCAGGCCGAGCTCTACGCGAGCTCGGCCAACAATGGCAACGGCTGGAGGATAAAAGAGAGAGGAGCGGGGTCAGCGGCACAGCGGCGGGGGTGCACGAGGAGAGAGGCCAGGAGGAGGAGAGAGAGGGAGAAAGAGAGAGAGAGAGAGAGAGAGAGAGAGAGAGAGAGAGAGAGAGAGAGAGAGAGAGAGAGAGAGAGAGAGAGAGAGAGAGAGGAGAGAGAGACGAGGGGGGGCTCCTCCTCCTGCTTGTCGTAACGGCGGCGGCGTCGCCGTTCCTCCTCCCCCTTCCCCGCCTTCCGCTCGACCCTGGGTGGCCTGGGATCCCGGGCCACGCCCAGGCCCTGGGGCAGTCGGACTGCGTTCCCGAAAGGAGACGTTGTTTTGGATGTCCGAGACAGTTGTAAGAGTGCGGTATACAAGCTCATGCACCAACGTGGTTGCGAATGTGCACGGTTGCAAGTGCGCCGCGCCTTACCGCGAACGCAGCCCTCGAGGGCGCCGCTGGTTTCAGGAATGTGGTGTACAAGCCCATGGAAAAGGCACAAGACAGATTACGTGCGTGTAGTTCTTGCAAACGCCTGCGCCGCGACTAACCGCGAACGCAGCCCTCGCGGGCACCGCTGCCGCGCGCGCCAGGCCCGCTCTCACTCGAACACTGCCGACAGATCCTCGCCCGCGGGCGCTTTGCTGGCCGGGGCAGCGCTCGACGCCGCCGCCCCCAGCGCCGCCGCTACTCCCTGGGGGGCCTTGCGAAGGGACACGGTCGTCTTGAGCACGTCCTTCTGCGTGCCCGTGGCGGGGCCGCTGAGAAACTTGATCTTATAGAATCGAGCCCTGTGGTTGGCCGTGATCTCCGCCTTCTGGCCGTCGTACTTCGCCTTCTCCACGCGGGCTGTCGTCGTCACGATCGATCCCACGGCCAAGGTGCCGTCCTGGGATTCGCCCTCGCCCTTCTGCCCCTTCGCCGTCGACCCCGCGGCCACGGGGCCGCCATGGGGGCCGCCGTCGACCTTCTGCTGCTTCTTCGGGGTCTCCTGCGCACCATCGTCTGCGCCGCGCGGCCTCTTGCCATCCGCGGCCGTCGTGACGGCGGCGGCGCCCAGCGCCGCGGCCCCAGTGGCCGGCGGGTAGACGTGGGCAGACGCTCCCGCCCAGTCGCCAAGGCCGTCGCCCGCCGCGGCACTGGGACTGGCGGCCGGCGCACCCGCGGAGGCGGCGTCCGCGGCCTCCGCGCAGGCCGGGGGCTTGGCGCCGGCGGCGACGGCTGTCGAGGCCGCCGAAGCCTCGGCGGCCGGCGCCGCGGCGGCGGCCGGCGCCGCGGCGGCGCGGCGGCCTCCGCGCAGGCCGGGGGCATGGCGCCGGCGGCGGTCGGCTGCCGAGGCCGGCGCCGCGGAGGCGGCCGGCGCCGCGGCGGCGTCGCCTGCCGCGGCCTCCGCGCAGGCCGGGGGTTGGCGCCAGCGGCGACGGCTGCCGAGGCCGCCGAAACCTCGGCGGCCGGCGCGCGGCCGGCGGCCGGTCGCGCGGCGGCGGCCTGCCGCGGCCTCCGCGCACGACGGGGCTCGGCGCAGGTGGGGGCGGCTGCCGGGGCCACCGAAGCCTCCGCGGCCGGCGGCGCCCCCGCGCTGGTGCCGGCGACATCCGCGGCCCCGTCGTGGCCCTCTAGGACCTCGCCGGCGGCCGGCGCCGCGGCGGCGAGGGCCGCAGCGCCCTCGGCGGCACCCGCCGCTGCCTCCGAGGCCGCGCAAGCCCCCCGCGCCACCGACGGCCCGCCGTACGGCGGCGGCGCCCGCCGTAACGGCGGCGGCGCCCGCCGCGGGCGCCGCGGCGCCGGCGGCCGCCGCAACGGCGGCGGCGCCCGCCGCGGCGTCCACGCGGTCGCCGGAGCCTGCCGTAACGGCGGCGGCCTCGTTCTCGTCACGCTGGCCCTTCTTCTCCCTCTCCTTCTCCTTCTTGTGCTGGGCGCGGGAGTCCTCCTTCTCCTGCTTCCACCCCGCTATGACGGCCTCCGCCGATGCGACCCACGGCACGGGCCCGTTGAGCTTCACCTCCGTGGCTAAGAACTTCTTCACGCTCTTCGCCATCTTCGTAAACGAGTCCTTTGACGTGGACGACAGCGACGCCAGCTCCTTCACGACGCACGGCTCGTTGACGCGCCAGGAGGGGACGCCGAACCTGAGAGAGCAAGCGGACTGCAGCATCTTGTCGGACCAATCCGGGATCGCGGGGGACGCGCTCAAGAGGCCCTCCAAGACGCCGAGGAGATCCTGGAACTCCGGCTGCTCCGCGCCCTCCTGCTCCCCGACCCGCGAGATGAGCTCCAGGGCGCCCTTGAACGACGGCCAATGCGCCCCCGCCGCAACGGCGGCGGCGGCGCCGCCGCCGAGGATGTCCGCGGCGACGTGCAGCGCGCTGCCCGGCGCCCACTCGGCGGCGGTCGCTGGCGCCCCGGGGGTGCTGCGAATGTAGGCCAGGCGCTCCGCCAGCGACTTCCTCTCGTCCAAAACGACCATGGCCATGGACACCTCGCTCCGCAGCTTCGCGGGCAAGTGCGGCAGCCTCCCCAACCCTCCGAGGAGGTCGAAGCACTTGGACGGGTCCTTCTCCCCCTTGGCCTTCACCAGTCGCTTCTCCGTCACCGCCGCCACGTGGCTCGAGAATAAGGGGCTGGACTGGAACTCCGTGCGGCTCTCGAAATCCGCGAAGGACACGTCCAAGGGCTTGAGCTCGCGCGCGTCGGCGTCGAACGCGGCCAGCACCAGAATGAGCTTGTCCATGTCCGTCGCGGCGGCCCCGCACTTATGCAGGCGCCTGTAGATCTTCGCGAAATTATGCAGGACGGCGAAGCACCCCTGAGACAAGAGGAGGGTCGTGAGCAACTTCAAGAACTTCTCCGAAACCGCCTTCTTCACGGGGCCCGCTGGCATGGACTCGACGGCCTCGGTGACGGCAGTGGCCCAGGCGCCAGCGTGGAAGTAGTCCAAGGGATCGTCCGACCAAATGTGCTCGTCCTTGAAAGCTTTCTCCAACTTCGTCCGAAGGGTGGCGAAGCGGTCCTTGATGGCGTCCACTTGCACTGGCGCCGCGGCGGCGCCAGAGTCGCGGACAGGCTCAGCCCCGCTAGGTGATCTCCCACCGGCGCGGCCGTCAGCGGCGCCACCGGCGTCCACGGCGAGGCCGGCGGCGGGGTCGCCGCCGCGCTCCGGGACCCTGTCCTCCACGGCCCCCGGCTGGCCGACGTTCTTGAACTTCGTCACCGCATTCAGGAAGAGTTCGACCGTCTTCACACGTTGCCCCAAACCCTCGCGCTTGCGCTCGGTGTCCACCAGCCAATTGTTGCCCGGGTTGATCTCGTTGCCGCTGGCGTCCCTCATGGCAGCCAGCTCCTCCGCCGAAACCACGAACTCCTTCACCGAGGGAGGCAGGCCCGCTGGGAAGTTCACGAACGGGACCATCCAGAACTCCTGCTTGTACCGTACGCCCGTGTCGACGTCCAGCCTCTGCTTCTTCCACGCCTGCATGAAGGGCCCGGGGTGCACCTTGGAAGAGGCCTGCCGCAAGAGCTTGTACACCTTCAGCTGGGATGCGTCATCGGGGTCGATGTCTGGATACTCAGGGTTGTTTCTCTTCATGAGCTTGAGGTTCCGCTGCGCGTCCGCAGTGGAGACCAACGTCATCGCGCAGTAGTGCCCGGGCCGCGTCGCGCAGCGTGAAACCACTGAAACTTGAACCACGAAGCTGAGGCATCAGCAGCGTCAACATCACAAGCATCAACATCACCAGCCTCAACATCACAAGCATCCGCATCACAATAAAGGGGAGTAGGGGGCGGCCAGGGCTTTGTCGCAACGGCGGTCGGCCCCGGCGCCGCCGCCGCCGTTACGACGCAGCCCCTGGACATCTGGACCGCTTCGGGTCCTGCGTCGTTGTTCGGCGGCATTCCTGGGCCCCAGAAGGCCGTCCGGCACGCCTGGAACACTCGCGCTCCCAGATTCGGAAAAGGGAAGACGAGGACGAGGAGGACGAGGAGGATGAGGACGAGGACGAAGGTTGCCTGTTCAATACGGCGGGGGCCTTGGAAAAGGAATCCTTGGACGCGGAATCCAGGGTTTCGAAACTGGTGGAACTCCAACTGTTTGGATGGTCCGTGGGTGTTGCCAGAACCCAGGAGGCTCCCAGGAGGCACGTGTCAAATTAATACACATCCGGTGTCGATTCGTTGATTTTTCCTGCTCTTATGCCCCCCCCTCCATTTTGAGGGGCCCAAACGGCCACAGGTTAGATGTCCCTGGGAGCCCCAAGAGGCTTCAGGAAACCCCAGGTGGAGTTCAGGAGGCCACAGGAGGCCCAGGAGGAAGCCCCAGGAGGTCCCCAGGAGGCCCCAGGAGGCACCAGGAGGCCCCCGCAACTCGGAGCTCAGACGCCGCGCTCGAGGTGGTCCGGCCCGTTTCGCCTGAGACTTCCTCGCAGCACGTTTCGCCCGAGACACCGGCCCGTCTCGCCTGAGACATCCTCGCAACTCTGAGCTCTGAGATGCCGCGCGCGAAGTGGTCCGGCCCGTTTCGCACAAGACATTCTCGCAACTCTGAGCTCTCAGATGCTGCGCAAGAGGTGGTCCAGCCTGGGGGCCCAGAAGACCACATGTTACACATCCCCCCTGGGATGAACCCCCGTCTCCTTTCTCTCGTCGTCCTCCTCCTCCTCCTCCTTCTCCTCCTCCTCCTCATCCTCCTCCTCTCGTCGTCCTCATCCTCCCCCTCCGCCGGCCGAACCGAGCCGAGCCGGCGGGCGGGCCGGCCGAACGGGGCGACCACGACGACAACGACGACGACGACGACGACGACGACGACAACGACGACGACGACGACGGCGGCGGCGGCGGCGGCGGCGACGACGACGGCGGCGGCGGCGTCTCCGGAAGTCCCCGGAGGCCCCAGGGCGTTTTCGGAACGGCTCCGAAGCCCAGCCAGGGCCGAAAACATCCAGAAACGTGCAACCCTCGAAAACGTCGACGACGACGACGACGACGAGGACGAGGACGACGAGGACGAGGACGGCCAGCCCAATCATTAGGAGAAACCACAGGAAGCGCGGGCAGTCTTCGTTGTCAAGCCGGCTCCCCCTATCAAGCGAGGGAGGCGTGGAGGGAAAACCAGCGCCCGGAGCGGCCAGTCGTCGTAACGGCACGGCACGGCGTCGTAACGGCACGGCGCCGTAACGGCACGGCGTCGGTCGTCGTCGTCGTCTTCGTCGTCGTACGGAGCAGCAGTGCGGGACAGCGCGGATCAGTAGGGGGCAGGACGGATCAGCAGCACGGAGCAGTAGGGAGCAGCACGGAACAGTACGGAACAGTACGGAACAGTACGGAGCAGCAGTACGGAGCAGTACGGAGCAGTACGGAGCAGCGCGGATCAGCACTGACCAGACTACGGAAGAGCAGTACGGAACAGCACGGAGCAATACAGCACGGCGCCGTAACGGCACGGCACGGAGCAGTACGGAGCAGTACGGAGCAGTACGGAGCAGTACGGAGCAACAGTACGGAGCAGTACGGAGCAGTACGGAGCACGAGGAACAGCAGTACGGAGCAGTACGGAGCAGTACGGAGCAGCACGGGGCCCCCGTGCTGCTCCGTACTGCTCCGTACTGCTCCGCGCTGCTCCGTACTGCCCTGCACTGCTCCGTCCTTCTCGTCGTCGTCGTCTTCCTCCCCCTCCCCCTCCCCCTCCCCCCCCCCATCCTCCTCCTCCGCCTCGTCGTCCTGCGCGTCCACAGGCGGCGCAGCAGCGACTTAGCGCAACTGGCAACGACTACCGAGGAGGTACTCACGAACCGTGATCACCTCATCCACGAGCATAGCGCCCAGGACGAGGTCCTTGAACATGGCGATGAGCACCTGGGGGCGCCCGGCGACGTCGACCACGTCCCCGTCCCACGCCACGAGGTGTTCGGTGTTGTGGGCCGTCAGGCGCAGGCTGCGCCGCACGCCTGGGCAGCAGAAGGCCAGGCTGCCCAGGCCGTCGTGGACGCATGGGCTGATGCGCTTGGCGGGGTAGGGGACCGAGTATATCTTGGCCACCCCTCCGCTGGGCGCCGCCCGAGGCTCCAACCCCAGAGTGGCGAGGGCCGCCGCGAAAGTCCGGCTGTCCAGCGGGACGTTGATGTGGCTGCGTCGCAGCGTCTTCTTCGAGAGCTCGCGCTGCACGCGCGGTGGCCATGGCATGTTTTTCGGAGGCTCGAAATGAACAGCTGAGGCGCCCACAGCCACGAAAGATGAATTGCCGGTGTGGTCGGGCCCGAGGTCGGCCTTCCAATCGTCAGCTGTTTGGTGGTACGGCACGAACGCCCGGGGGCGAAACGTCCCAGCCATCTCCCCGGACTGCACCAACTCGTAAAAGGCGTCCCTGCGGAGGCCGAGCATGGCGAGCTGCTCGTTGCAGTGTGCCAGATCCTGGGCCCACTGGCCCTCGTGGCTGATGTCCCTGAACATGACCTTGGCTGGAGGCTTGCGCAAATCATCTTTGCCCCGCAGGAGCCAATCGTGGTGGTCTTTGGCATCCTCCACGCTTGCGTGGATGGTGCCACGCACTGCGACGCTGAGCGGGTGCATTTTCTCGCCCGAGGCGGGCGCGAACATCAGCCTGCCGCCGCACTGTTTGACGCCGTTTTGAAGGCTGGTGCGCGCCACCCATGCCCACGACGCGTTGTCCCCGTCGTGGAGCTGGGTGGACGCCCCTTCGGCTACGTCGAGGTCTTCGTGCTCGCTGTCGCTATCGTTGCCTGCAAGACGAAGGTGTCTGATGAGTTCCTGGGCGCGCTTGATGACAGCCGCCCCTGGCCTATGCACCTTCCTGCTGACAGCCAGCGCGCACAATGCCTCGAGGACCTCAGGGTCGCAGGAAGCCGCGCATTCGTCAACGGCTCGCGAGAGCTGCCCTCGCAGCCTGTCGTCGCATTCCTGTTTGCGTTTGTTTCGGGTGGTGTCCAACCGGCCGTGAGAAACGGCCAAAACCTGCGGCTTAGGACGGGGAGGGGCGCCGTCGGGGCGCTCCAAGAAACGCTCCATGGCCTGAGCCAACAAGGCTACGCGGAAGGTCGGGTTTTGGAGGGGAGGAGGTGGAAAGGGGAGAGAAAGAGGGAGGGAGGGAGGAGGGAAGGAGGGGGAAGGAAGCAAGGAGGTGGGAAAGGGGCATGCGGAGGGAGGGCGGGAGGCATTTGGAGAGAAGGAGGAGGGGAGGGAAGGAGGGGCGACGGGAAGGGGGAAGGAGGGAGGGCGGGAAAAAGAGAGGGATGGAGGGAGGGATTGAGGGAGGGGGAGGGAGGGAGGGAAAGGGGGGGAGGGAGGGGGAGGCAACAGTTCGACGGGGGAGGGGGGAGAAGGATAGGGCGGGAGGGAGGCGTTTGGCGGGGAGGGCGGAGAAAGCCAGAGGGAGGAAAAGAGGCGGGAGCCAGACGGAGATGCCCCCGCAGTAAGAACCGCTCCGTAGCTTGGGCCACAATGGGAAAGGAAAAAAGGAGGAGGAGGAGGGGGGTCGGAACGGACCCAGGATGCTTAAACGATGCTGCAACACACCCCGCCGTCCAATGTCCCTCATCAGGCATTCTTTTCGTTGCCCCTCAGCGAGCGGGCAAAACGCGAACCCCCTCTTTGAAAAAGGAGCCGGCGAGGAGAGGGGGGGGGGAAGCGGAGGGGGGGAGGATGCGGGAGAGGGGGCCGATGGCGACGACGATGGTGATGCTGACCGACACGATGGCGATGATTTGTGAAACTGCCGTGGCGGCGGACGGCCGTCGCAACGGCAGCGGCGCGCGCCCCAGCTACGGGGGAGCGCGCAGGCGGTCCGCGAGGTCGGGGGCCCACTTGCGGAACTCCTTGGAGGCCGCCGGATGGCCCAGCAACCTGTCGTCCGCCCGCAAGGACCGCACGTCGCGCTCCAGGCGGGCGTACTCGGCGGCCATGTCCCGCGCCCTCCAGTCCGCCCCTGTGATGAAGGGCAACGACGCACACCGCTGCCACGCCCAGGCCCTCAGGAGGAGGAACGTCCGAACCGGGTCCGCGTGCGTCTCCCCAAAGTGGCGGGGCGTCCGGGTTTTGGACATGTCAACGGTCCCCAGGGCAGCGGGCTTGCAGAACGCCCCTTTGAGGATCATCTTGCAGTCCTCGTGGCCGGTGTGCCTGTTGTCTTCGATGAAGTAGTACGTGGACTCCCAGCGCCCTCGCCTCCTCTGCTTCGCCCCCCCAGCTTGAGCCGCCACCTTCGGAGGCGGCCCAGAGTCGGAAGAATCGCTGCCCCCGCCGCGGCTGGTGGACGAGGACGAGGACGAGGAAATCGACGACGAGGACTCGGAGGGCGGCTCAACCTCAGAGTCTGCGGACACGTGCGAATCGACGTCGCTGTCTTCCTGGGCACCGTTGACCTGCTCCCACTCGTCGTCAGTGTCCTCGCCCTCGCTGTCCGCGTCGGCGCCGCCCTCGCCCGCGCCCTCGGCATTCCGCCGCGCGGGCCTTGGGAGAGGCTCAAGCAGCTCCTGCGGGGCGGCTGCCGACCACAATGACACGGCATTTGAGTCCGCGGCAGCGCCGAGGGTCATCGCATAAACGCGAGCCTCCCCGCGAAGCGAGTCCTCCAACCTCCGCAGCGACAGCGCGGAGGGCGACCAATCAGCAGGTATTCGG